TGTCCTCTTCTCTTTCTCTCACTTTTACTTTTTTTTTTGTTTCTTTTAATTCTCACATACTTGTAAAATCTAGCGAGACCATCTAGATCAAAAACAAAAAAATTGGAGATACCCTTGCAACATAAGGATTTTCACTCTTTCTATGTATTTTCCTTTATTCACTGGCCCTTTCAGTGCAGTGGTGTCAGCTAAGTAGCCCTGAATTTGGAGTCACATTTACAATCAGTATTAATCAATAGAGTCATGTGATTCCTTTATGCCTTATATAATCTTGGATAATATAATATCCATTCTACTACAGACATTATTAATCATCAAGAGCTCTAAGATGCATGCGAAAGGGCTGCTGTAGACTTGAGAGTTGAGGTCTAATTATTGCCTTGTTCGTTCATCTGTTCATCCATGAACAAAGACATTATGGTAGAGCCAGGGGCCCGGGCGGGATGGTAGAAGTCCGAAGACTTTACTTTGCTAACCAGGAAATGGGGAATGAAAACAGGAACTGATATTTGTTAAGTGCCGATTATATGCCAGCCACCCATTGTTCTAGATGTTTTATGTACATTATTCCATTGAACCAGAAGCCTAGAACTACTTTTATTCCCATTTTACAGACGTGGAAATTGAGGTGCTAAGATTCTAAGAGCTAGCACAAGGTCACACAGTATGTGGTGCATGAGGATTCAGTCAACTATGGGATATTCTACTGCCCCTTTTCACCAGACTTGATTCTCTAATTTGGCAATCTAGGATTATGAAGTAAAGACATACCAAACTGCAGGATGCAAAAGAAGAGGAGTTAATAACAGCACTTTCTCGTTTTGCCTTTCCCCTTTCTTCATTGCACTATGTGATCTAGATGCAGGAAATTTTGAAGAGAGAAAAGAATTATTTTTAGAAAATCCATCTTTTCCATGAGATGGACTGAGATTCTCAGGGTCAGAAGGGAACTCTGTTAATGTTCCCAGAATTGGAGCCACAGTCTCTCTTCTTCATCCTGTTAGCCAGTTCCACATCTGGCCTGACTGAGGTGCACAAGGCTTAGACTTAAAAGAGGTATATATGAAGGAAGAAGTAGGAGGCCTGTTAATGTTTTGATTTTGGGTCTGTCTCCAATCTGGAGGCATCATGCCTTAACACTGTTGCCTCTGAGTGAAGATTTCAGTAGAGGCCAATTCCTTAGTTGCAAGCATCATGCATAGATTTAGCTGGAGTCAAACATATTTACTTATATATTCCACCTCCATCCCTAAAACTATTCGTATGGAGATGGGTGGGACACATGAGCTTGCTGTGAGCCTGCAGGGGAGTCATTAGGTAGTTTCCTTTAGATTTGACAAAGGCAGGGCAGCAGAAAACATTTCTTGGAACTACAGGGTTTTTCAGCCTCCTCAACTTCTGATATTTCTGACCTTTGCCCCTCTTGAATAACCAGTGGTCAACATTGTCTGCAATCTATTTGTTTATTTAGTGAAGCCCTGCTCTTCTCTTTCCTGTAATCCTGGCCATCTGCACTCTTCCGTCAATTAACTGTAGTATGCTTCCAGCGTCATATCATACTTGTTTACTCTCGGTGATTCTCACCCTGGCTTCACCCAGTGATTTTTCTGAAGGGCATCCCCAGGACCTAAGGTCTAGATTGGGCTCGAAGGTTTAGGCTTTGCTATACACGGTAAAAGCCAACTGGGAGCGGCCTTTGATGACGTCACTATAGGGGGAGGAACTTTCGTAGTGTCGTCAGACGCTGTGGAAGAAGTTTGTGAAGAGAGTGCTTGAGGTACCAGTCTCGGCTGAGGTTAGTGATTTAGTAGGCAAGAAGGGCTAGAAGAGGCTTCAGGTACAGGTTAGTGGAATGGTTTATAACGAGAAAGAAGTTGTAGCTATTAGGCCAACACTTTTTAGAGTGGCCCTGGGGCATGACTTTGGACTGCCGAGCTGCTCGTGGCTGGCTGAAGGTGAAGGAATAGGGGCAAAGGCAGTGGTTTTTGATGACGATGGAAGAAAATGGGGAGTTGTGCTGAGTCACTGAAAGCGGGAGATAGTAGTTATTGTAATTTACATGTTAAAGACCTAAGTTCTGTTGAAGCGAGACTGTTGGTGACCTTTGGGGGTGGGGAGCTGAAGGCGTTAGCGAGAGTGGCAAAAAGGAAGGTGAGTGACTGGATGTTTTGAATGTATGGTTGGTAGGGAAGAGGGATTTTGGACCAATTAGGAGGAAGCACCGAGTACCAGCCAGACCAATCACAGGGTCTCCCTCAGCATTGGTTCCCGCGTTGCCGGGCTCATTTGTGTAAGAAAAGACAGGAACCTCCTACGGGAAGGCCCCTTTTATGTGAATACCAGCCTGGCTCCGTCCCTCATTAACTACTTTTTCTGGGTTTTTAAATTTCCTCAACCTTTCCCCCCACTTTGGATAACAAGTAACGGGAAAAATTTGACTGGAAAGAAATTTATTGAGAAATTGAAGGATAAAGGACAGATATTAAAATATTTTCTTATTTCATAGGCCTGAGCCAGAGATTTAAAAATGGACGATGTTGATTTTCGTTTCATGGACTTTACAGGTACATAGCTTTAAATGACAGTAAAGAAAATGTCAAACTGTTTGCTGCCCTATTGAAATCTTCTAAATGTATTTATTTTTTCTGAATTTTTGTCTCCTCGGAGTGTCCATAGCTCCAGGTTTTCTCATTTATGCACCAGAAACAATGTAGATGTGTAAGACACTGGGAACCTTTTATGGGTTAATGTAGAGAAACAGAATGCACAATTCATAATTTGTTTGTTCAGGATATTTATGGCATGCAAAATAACACTGGTTTAATACCGAAAGAGAAATCTACTGCATTAAAAGTAAATTAAAATTACCGTAAGATCCTGAAGTGCCTTTTCATAATCATCAGTGAAAAATAAATTATATCCTGTGTAGTTCTAGGTTTAAGTGAGTTTTATGGTGTCTTAATTCTTTTGTAAAGTTATAATCCATGTATGGTATGTATGGGAACTCTTTTTTTTTTTTTTTTTTTGAAACAGATATTGAATTTATTGGTTGGGTATGAGTAGGAAAATACATAGGTAAAGAAAAAAGACCCTGTATATAAATATAACACTAGCTAGTTATACTTTGACCAAGAAGGTTCCACTGAAAAGAATAGTAAAAGCCCTATGTTACCACCAGTCCATACAGTATTATTTATGGAAACTCTTAATAGACAAAAGCAATTTGATTGACCAGAACACCAGATTCCTCAACAATACCAGATATGGCAGAGTTTACAGTATTTCCTTCCCCCTCCCTACTCCTTGGGAAATGATTAGACCTGTGGTACATTCTCATTCATATAAATAATGAAATATGTTGTAACCAAGGTGGTACAAATCTATGATTTAAAAAAGTAAAAAAGCTTAGGTCAATATTTGGTTAATGCTTGTCATTTTCAAACAAGAAGGCCACTACTGCCTGCCTTAAGTTTTAATTTAGGATATACTGTCATAAAGGTATAAACATGGAGTAGGGATTATGACAAGTATATAGTATTTGAGACGTGTGTTTACATAAATATTTGAAGCACACAGAAAAGTATAGAGAATAATATAATGAACACCTGTGTACCTACCACCGAGTTTTGTCAAATCTTAACAGTTTGCCATTATGTTTCAGATATTTCATTGTTTCAAAGAACTAGAAGATTTCATGTACAATTTTTCATCTTTTTAAACTTTGCATAAATTATATCATTTTATATGATTTTCTGCAACTTGTTTTTTTTTTTTTTTTTTTTGCTCAGCATTGTGTTTTGGATATTTACCCATATGGATATTTTAACTGTAGTTCATTTATTTCCACTGCTTATTAGTAGTATTACATTGAATGCAAATGAATGTAAATGTAAATGTATTTATTCAATCTCCTTTGTTGGACATATGAGTTGTTTCAAATATTTCCTATTACAAACACTACAATGAACATTGTGTTTCTCAGAGTTTAGCAGGAACTTTCAAAAATTTTTGACTACCACCCATGGCATTACATTGCATCCCATTGCATACACACTATATCAGAAGTTCAATGAGAAAATTTTTACCCTTATTACTTGCAGTACACTATGATATTTTCTATTCTACTCTTTTTCATTAAAAAAAAAAAGTGCTGGGTATGACCCACTAAATTGATTTTTTTCCCCCCAATGACAATGCATTCTTTAATAGGACTGTATTTGAATAAGAATTCCATGCAAATAGAATATATACCTTAACACAAGAAGGCAAGGAAGAAATATTTTAAGTTACACAGAACATTCAGGTAATTCAACTGATTTATCCCCTCCAACCAAATACTTATTTTTTATATTTATTACAAACGTTGCAGTCAGTTCACTATATGCCAACAATCATACAGGTTTAACATTTTGTAGTGTGAAGGGGATAAGTGATGTAACCTCCATTTCACAGAAGCTGAAGTGATTGAATTACTGTCTGCTTTTTAATGTTTCAACTAACCATTCTATTGCCTCATCAAGGCCAGTGCCTTTGGTTGCTAACGTTTTGAATATTTGCCATTTTCGATCCTTCAAGGCAGGTAACCCAAGTGAACTTGCCATCTCTGAGGGAGTCATGGCCTGTTCTATGCCCTGCTTATTTACAAACACCTCTAAAATGGCTTTTCTCAACACCTTTTCCTCCAACATGGCAACCGACTCTGACTTGGAAGTGCTTGATTCGGTCTCGGTCACAACTGTTTATCACATAAATGGCTGCATCTGTGTTTGAATAATAACATCTCTAGTATGGCCTGGTTCTCTTAAATCACAGACTTGGAATTTAAGGTTTTTGTATGTCACCGTCTGTACATTAAATCCAATGGTAGGAATAGTAGTAACTTCTCCAACTTGTAATCTGTACAAAATTATGGTTTTTCCTGCTCCATCTAATCCCAAAATAAAATCATTTCCCGGGTTCCAAACAGACTGGAAAAAATACTTGAGAAAAAGCCATCCATGATGAACCTCCTGTCTGCCTTCGCCGATCCTCAGAGACAGGTCCCGGCGTCGGCATTGGTGGCAGCAGTCTTGGTGTCGCCACCTCCGCTCAGGTTGGCCTCCGGTTGTGGCTCCAAGGCATTTTGCTAGCAAGCCTGGTCAGCCAGTAAACTTCCACGTTGGATTCCCGGCGGGCCTGATTTATCTCTTGAGCTACTAGTGGTTGAGGCTCTAGGGCAGTGCTTTCCAATTAATATATACTCATTGTGCAAACAATATAAATGATTTTATATTTTCTGGTAGCCACATTAAAAAAGGTTAAACAGATGAAATTAATTTTAACGGTGTAAATATATATAGCTCAGTATACCCAAAATGTTATCATTTCAACATGTAATCAATATAAAAATTATTAATGAGATATTTTACATTTTTGGGGAGTACAAAGTCTAAGCTGGGTGTGTATTTTACATTTAAAGCACATCTCATTTTGTACTAGCCACGCTTCAAATGCTCAGTAGTAGTTACTACCTGCTAAATAGTCACAACAGTGGTTATTGTACTGGACAGTGCAGTTGTAGGTCATATATTTAGGAGTGGAACTGCAGGGTCAAAAGCTATGAGCATCTCGGGCTGGCTCGGGAGAGTGCGATGCTGGTAGTGCCAAGGCTGCGGGTTTGGATCCTATATGGGGATGGCCCATGCGCTCACTGGCTGAGCGTGGTGCAGACCACACCGTGCCTAGGGTTGCGATCCCCTTACCGGTCCAAAAAAATGCTATGAGCATCTTTATAGATATTGCCAAATTGCAGTCCAAAGTAGTTTTAACAATTTATATTCTTTTTTTCTCTATCTTCTTGCTAATATTTGATATTGTCAGAATTTTAAAAATTTATAAGTCTGAAGGGTGTTTTTTTTTTTTTTTTTTTGCTGCTGGCTGGTATGGGGATCCAAACTCTTGACCTTGGTGTTATAACACTGCGTTCTAACTAACTGAGCTAACTCACCAGCCGGGGGTGTTGTTTTTAATTAGCATTTTATTCTAGGATAATTTTAGGTTTACAGAAAAGTTGTAAAGAGTGCAGAGAGTTCTCTCCTCAGCCAGTTTTATTTTCCCTAATGTTATCCTACATGAGTGTTGTTTTGCTTTTACATTTCTCTGATAATTAGTGGAGTGGGGTGTATTTTCATAGATTTATTGCCTGTTTGTGTTTTCTCTTCTGTACACATAACCTTTTTAGTCAAGTTTTGTAAAAATGGGCCACAAAAGGCCATGCTATGGCTCTAGTTCATTTCCTTCTTAGGGAGAATTGACATTACACCAGTCTTTTTGTACCACCAATGTCAATCAATTTCAAGGCCAAGAAGGAGTAGAAATTGGTCTAAGTTATACCCATTGGGGCTAAATAAATATACCTCCCTTTCTGCATGTCAGCTCTTCAACTATTTGACAATATTTATTATGACCCCAGGGAAGTCTCTTCTTCAGGTTGAGCATTCTCAGTTTGTTCAGTCATTCCTCATATTACATAGTTTCTAGTCCCCTCATCATTTTGTGTGCTGTTTTCTGAACATGCTCTATTCTTTTTATGTTATTCTTTAAACTGTGATACCCAGAACAGAACACATTTCTCTAGGTTTGATATGATAAGCACAAAATAATTTTTCTCTTTAGATTTAGGGGTGGACATCTTTCTTTTTAGGTAATGATGTAGCTAAGATTGAATTTGTTTTTCTTTTTTTTTTTTTTGTCCTTTTTGAGACCGGCCACACTGCGCTCAGCCAGTGAGCGCTGTGAGCGCACCGGCCATCCCTATATAGGATCCAAACCTGCAGCGGGAGTGCTGCTGTGCTCCCAGTGCCGCACTCTCCCGAGTACGCCACAGGCTCGGCCCTGTTTTTCTTTTTTAAATTTTTAAAAATTATTCCTATTTTTAATTGACATAAAAACTGTACATATCTATGGGGTGCACTGTGATATTTTGATACATGTATACATTGTGTAATGATCAAATCAGGATAATTAGCATGTCCATCACCTCAAACATTTATCATTTCTTTGTGATGGGGACATTCAGAATCCTATCTTCTAGGGCCGGCCTGGTGGCGCACTCGGTAGAGTGCGGCGCTTGGGAGTGCGGTGGTGCTCCCGCCGAGGGTTCGGATCCCATATAGAGACCGGTCTGCTCACTGGTTGAGTGCGGTGCAGGTGCGACACCGAGGGTTGCGATCCCGTTGCTGGTCGCGGTACGGGCGCGACACTGAGGGTTGCGATCCCGTTACCGGTCACGAAAAAAAAAAAAGACAAAAAGGAAAAAAAAAAATCCTGTCTTCTAGCTATTTTGAGATATACCTTATTATTTACTCTAGTCACCCTACTGTGCAATAGGACACCAGAACTTATTCCTTTAATTACAGCTTTGTACCCATTGCCCATCCTCTCCCCATCCCTGCTTCTCAGTCTCTGGTAAACACTGTTCTATTCACTACGTCTATGAGATCAACTTTTTTAGATTTCTCTTATGAATGAGAAGATATAATATTTGTCTCTCTGTGTCTGGCTTAGTCATTTAATATAATGTCTTCTGGGTTCATGTCTGTTGCCACAAATAACAGGATTTCATTCTTTTTTATGGTCAAATAGTATTCCATTATGTTTATATACCATATTTCATTTATCCATTCATCTGTTGTTGGATGCTTAGGTCGATTCTAAATTTGGCTATTGTGAATAATGTTGCATTAAACATGGGGGTGCAGATATCTCTTCAACATACTGATCTTTCCTTTGGATATATACCCAGTAGTGGGAGAGCTGGATCATATCGTAGTTCTACTTTTAATTTTTTGAGAAACCTTCATATGGTTTTCCATAATGGCTACACTAATTTACATTCCCACCAGCAATGTGTAAGGGTTCCCTTTTCTGTACATCCTCACTTGTTCCCTGATGATTAGTGACGTTGAGCATTTTTCCATATACCTGCTGGCCATTTGTATATATTCTTTTGAGAAATGTCTACTAAGGTCTTTGGCCCATTTTTAAATTGGATTTTTTTTTTTTTTTGCTATTGAATTTGAGTTCCTTATATATTGTGGATATATACCCCTTGATAGATGTACAGTTTGCAAATATTTTCTCCCAATCTGTGGGTTGTCTTTTCACTGTTAATTGTTTCCTTTGCTGTGCAGCTTTTTAGTTTGACGTAATCCCATTTGTCTGTTTTTGCTTTTAGTTGCCTGTGTTTTTGAAGTCATATCCAAAAAATCTTTGCCCAAGTCCCATGTTATTAAGTATTTTCCATATGTTTTCATTTAGTAGCTTCATAGTTTTGGGTCTTACATTTAGATGTTTAATCCATGTTGAATTGATTTTTTGCATATGGCAAAAGATAGGGGTCCAGTTTCATTCTTCTGCATGCAGGTATCTAATTTTCTCAATACTTTTTATTGAAGAGATTGTTCTTTCCCCAATGTGTGCTCTTGGCACCTTTGTTATTTATGTGGATTTGTTTCTGGGCTTTCTGTTCTGCTCCATTGGTCTGTGTGTCTGTTTTTATACCAGTACCATGTGGTTTTGTTACTATAGGTTTGTAGTGTGTGTGTGTGTGTGTGTGTGTGTGTGTGTGTGTGTAAATATAAATATATAAATAAATATATTTATTGAAACATAATTGATTGTACATATCTGTGGGGTACAGCATTGAATATCAATACCTGTGTGATATGTGATATGTGATACTAATATCAGGATAATCAGTATACTCAACATTACACAGTGTAATCATTTTTTTTTTTTTTTTTGTCTTTTTCCGTGTCCGGCAACGGATCGCAACCCTCAGTGTTGCCCCCGTACCGGACTGGGGACCGGCAACGGGATCGCAACCCTCGGTGTTGCTCCCGCGCCTCGCTCAGCCAGTGAGCGGGAACCGGTCTGTATGTGGGATCCGAACCCTCGGGCGGGAGCGCCGCCGCGCTTCCCAAGCGGCGCACTTATCCAGTGCGCCACTGGGCCGGCCCCCAGTGTAATCATTTTTTGTGGCCTTTACCAAGTTCTTGCTAACCCTTCCTTTCCCTTTCCCACCTCTGGTAGGCTCAGTTCTGTGTTTTTGAAAGTTAAATGAATTATTGTGATTGTTGTATCTTTCTTTTTTTATTTTTAGCTCCCACTTATGAGTGAGGACATGCTGTATTTCTCTTTCTGTGCCTGGCTTATTTCACTAAACAATCTTCTCTAAGAACATCTATGTTGCTGTGAATGACAGAATTTCATTCTTTTTTTATGGCAGAGTAGTATTCCATTGTGTATATTTACCACATTTTTCTTATCCAGTCATCTGTCCAGGGACATTTAGGTTGGTGCCAACTCTTAGCTATTGTAAATAGAGCTGCAGTAAACATGAGAGTGCAGGTATCCCTTCAACATGATGATTTTCATTCCTTTAGGTATATACCCAGCAGGGGGAATTGCTGAATGGTATGGCAGTTGTATCCGTAGTTGTTTGAGGAACCTCCATACTGTTTTCCATCATGACTGCACTAATTTACAGTCCTACCAACAGTGTAGGAGGGTTCCGCTATCTCAGCATCCTCGCCAGCATTTGTTAATCTCTGTCTTTTTGATAATAGCCAGTCTGTCTGGGGTGAGATTTGGTTTTGATTTGCATTTCCCTGGTGCTTAGTCATGTTGAGCATTTTTTCATGTGTCCATTGGTCATTTGTATATCTTTCTTTGAGAAATGCCTATTCACCTCCTTTGCCCATTTTTTAATTGAATTATTGTTTTTTCTTTTTACTACTAATTTGTTTGAGTTCCTTGTATATTATGTA